ATTAATAGAGCATTAGAGGAAAATAAGGTTAAAAGATGTTAAGATAATTATAGGATAGAAAACAGGAGAAGATGGTAAGGAATTGCTGAAATAATCAATAGAAGTGGAACACAAAAAGGGAGGTGTGAGGAGGCCGTGGAAATATGGGAAAGAAAGATAAGATATTGGAAGTTTTTTCTTTTTTCTTCCTCCCCCCTTTTTTTTCTTTTATCTTTTGATGTGCTTTTAAATTGTTTCTGTTTTGTTTTGTTAATTTTTATGTAGTGTTTGTGTATTATAATTTATTGTGTATTGTTTTTCTTTGTTTTCTCCTTTGTAAGTGTTTAAATTGTTGTAAAAGCAATAAATATTATTTTTAAAAAATATATATATACCCAGCCAGATAGGCGGGGTATTATTATTATTATTATTATTATTACCCACTCCCAGACATCACCTGCAAGGTCCCCCATCGCTCCTTTGCAAACCTTCTCATTCTGTTTGGCCCAAGGGTTGAATCGACCAGGGCTTGTGCAAAACTAGACAAGGAAGGGGGTTGTTGTTGTTGTTGAGTCGTTAGTCGTGTCCGCCTCTTTGTGACCCCCTGGACCAGAGCACGCCAGGCACCTCTGTCCTCCACTGCCTCCCGCAGTTTGGTCAAACTCATGCTGGTCTCTTCGAGAACACTGTCCCACCATCTTGTCCTCTGTCGTCCCCTTCTCCTTGTGCCCTCCATCTTTCCCAACATCAGGGTCTTTTCCAGGGAGTCTTCTCTTCTCCTGAGGTGGCCAAAGTCTTGGAGCCTCAGCTTCAGGATCTGTCCTTCCAGTGAGCACTCAGGGCTGATTTCCTTCAGAATGGAGAGGTCGGATCTTCTTGCAGTCCATGGGACTCTCAAGAGTCTCCTCCAGCACCACAATTCAAAAGCATCCATTCTTCCGGGATCAGCCCAGCTTCCCATAATTAATTGTTGTTGTTGTTATTGTTGTTGTTGTTGTTGTTGTTGCAGATTGGCTGTTGTTAAGGAGTTGCTGCACGCTTCCACAGTATTATTTACTTATTGCATTTGCACCGCACCGCCTTTTCTCTCTCAAGGTGAAATTATGCAAGGAAGGGGGAGAAACGGCGCAAGTGCAATAAGTAAATAATACTATGGAAGCCTGCAACAACTCCTTAACAACAGCCAATCTGCAATAATAATAATAAAAACTAATTCTGGAGGGAAAGAAAACGTCAGCCCATTCCCCCCCCCCTCGCGCGGCGCTGGAGCTCCCTCCGCTGGCCGCTCCGGGGAACAGGCAAGGCAGGGAGAAGGGGAGGGCCGAGGAGGTGGAGCCGGCGGGACACCCAAGCACGCATGCGCAGAATCGGCGAGGTCGAGCCCAAGGTGTCAGCCGGCAGGAGAACCCGGAAGTAAGGAGGAAGCACGTGGCTGGAGGGAGCAGATGCGGGGGAGGGGAGGGCGTGCATTGGGGGAGGGGATGCATTGGGGGAGGGGAGGGCTGCATTGGGAGAGGGGAGGGGTGCATTGGGGAGGGGGATGCATTGGGGGAGGGGAGGGGGAGGGGAGGGCTGCATTGGGAGAGGGGAGGGGTGCATTGGGGAGGGGGATGCATTGGGGAGGGGAGGGGGAGGGGAGGGCTGCATTGGGAGAGGGGAGGGGGTGCATTGGGGGAGGGGAGGGGGTGCATTGGGGAGGGGGATGCATTGTGTGGGGAGAGGGGGTGCATGGAGGAGGGGAGGGCTGCATTGGGAGAGGGGAGGGGGTGCATTGGGGAGGGGGATGCATTGCGTGGGGGGGGGGGATTGGGAGCCTGCAGGGTGTCCGAGCCCTCCTTGGTTCACGGGGGGGGGGGAGGATATCAGAGGGGAACCCCCCCCCCAGGTTTGAGTTGGGAAAAGGAGGGAGTGGATCAGAGGAAAAGGAGAGCAGGGTTCTGGTTACAGGTAGGTAGCCGTGTTGGTCTGCCGTGATCGAAACAAAATAAAATAAATTAAGAAATAAAATAAATTCCTTCCAGTCGTACCCATCTGGAGGAGTGTGCATGCACACAGAAGCTCCCACCAGTATCTAACTTAGTTGGTCTCTAAGTTGCTACTGGACAGGTGGGGGGGTGTGTGGAACTGGGCTAAATTTTACTTCCCCTGGTGCAGAAATGACTTCAAAGCAATCCATGGAGAGGGTCAAATGGAAGCAAACTTTCCAACACCAGCAATGGAGGCAAATCCTCCCCACCTGCTGAATTTCTGCCTGCCAGAAGGTTGACAGGTGGAGAAACCCAGCCGAAAAGAGTGAAAGGTGAAAGAGAGCGACAAGTTCCGCTTCTCTTCCCCGCAGACCTTTGCCTGCCAACATCCTCACAGGGATCGCATGAGCTTTGCCTCTTTCTCCTCAAAGCGTCCCAGGGAAGGGGTTAAATTGGGGGGGGCATTTTCACATTGCACCCCGTTCCTTCCTCCAGCAGGATCTGCTCCCCCTCCCAGTTCCCGAAAGACCTTTGAGGCTTCCCAGGGTTTTGTTGAGTTAAGACCCTGTCTGAAGAGGGGGAGGGTCGCCCCAGAAGGAAGCGAGGACGGGGCCTTAGGAAAGAACAATTATACAAATTTAAATCCTCCTTCTCGCTGGATCAGGCTAATGGCCCACCTGGTCCAGCAGGATCTGAACACGAGCGATTCTCTCCTCCTGCAGTTTCCAGCAACAGGGATCCAGCAGCCCTGCTGGCTCCAACTGCAGTGGGGAGAGAATGGCCTCTGTGGAAAGGAAAGGGGGGGGGTTGGGGGCTGTGCCATGGTGGCTCTTGAAGCCGCCCTGAGCTGCAAAAGTGGAGATATGAGGCCAAGAAATTGGGCTTTCTGAATCCACAGCAGGGGATGGACTTGAACTCGCCACCCCCAGGCCGGCTTCAACTGCTGTGCTATCTTTGAGCTATTTAAGAATCTTTCTCTCCTGCCCGCTTCCCCACCCATAGTCCTTTGGGAGAAGAGCGCTAGAGTGCTCCATAAATAATTTATTATTTATAAATAATATAATATTATATTATATATAAATAATTTATTATTTATACCCCAGCCACTCTGGCCAGATTTCAACAAAATATTAAAATACAGTAATGCATCAAACATTAAAAGCTTCCCTAAGCAGGGCTGCCTTCAGATGTCTTCTAAATGTCATATAGTTGTTTATTTCCTTGACACCTGGTGGGAGGGCCTTCCACAGGGCAGGCGCCACCACCGAGAAGTCCCTCTGCCTGGTTCCCTGTAACTTGGCTTCTCGCAGTGAGGGAACTGCCAGAAGGCCCTCGGTGCTGGACCTCAGTGTCCAGGCAGAACAATGGAGGTGGAGATGCTCCTTCAGGTATACTGGGCTGAGGCCGTTTAGGGCTTTCAAGGTCAGCACCAACACTTTGAATTGTGCCCGGAAACGTACTGGGAGCCAATGGTAGGATCCTTGTACCCCTATTTCCCTTAACAGAAGGCTTCTTGTTAATTATTGCTATTCATTGTATTTATGGCCCACCATTTTCCTCCAGGGAGCTCAACCTGGCATGCAATTGTTTCCCCCATTTTTATCTTCACAACAATCTTGGGAGGAAGTAGGTTGGCTGAGAGGCAGCAGCTCCCCTGGGGACCTTCCCTGGTAAGGGGAGATTTCATAAAAGCTCCTGTTAGCATTTCCAGTCTAACATCGCTCCACTGCTCAGACGCTCTCCAATTCTTCCTTGCTTTTTTTGGAACTACCTAGCTTGAGGAAGAACCTGGTATTTCACGAAAGCTTGCACACTGCGCCGGTGCGAGCTCCTGCCCAGCCGCAAAGTTTGCTGGGGGACCGGGGACTAATTGCTGTGGCTCTGTCCAACCTGCAACATAGGCTGGTTGAGGAGAAAACGTGGGCAGGGGGAAACCCCTGTGCGCCCCACAAATGCAAGGGCATAAATTGAATTGGATTGAGGCAAGTTGGGACTGCTGATTCTCTTAGATTTGTCAGCAGCCTTTGACATGGTCGATCATGATCTTTTGGACCACCGCCTCGCCGATGTGGGGATACAGGGCATAGCCCCTAAATGGCTGTGCTCTTTTATCTCTGGTCAGGGACAGAGGGTGGCACTAGGGAGGGAGATATCGTCGCACCAGGGCGCAATCCTCTCCCTGAAGCTTTTTAACATCTTTATGCGCCCCCTTGCCCAGATTATCTGGAGCTTTGGGCTGGCTTGTTACCAATATGCTGATGACACTCAGCTCTATCTGTTAATGGATGGCCATCCCGCCTTGACCAGGCCACAGTGATCCATGCGATGGCCACCTCCAGGCTTGACTACTGCAATTCGCTCTACGCGGGGCTGCCCTTGAAGCTGTCCCAGAAACTCCAGCGGGTGCAGAATGCTGCAGGGAGGCTCCTCACAGGATCTCTGCCATGGGAGCATATTCACCCAGTGCTTTTCCAGTTGCACTGGCTCCCAGTGGAGTACAGGGTCAGATTTAAGGTGCTGCTTTTGACCTTTCAAGCCCTTCATGGCCTAGGACCCTCGTACCCACGGGACCTCCTCTCCTGGTATGCCCGACAGAGAGCCTCAAGGTCCATAAATAGCAACACCCTAGAGGTCCTGGGCCCTAAGGCAGTTAGATTAGTCTCAACCAGAGCCAGGGCCTTTTCAACACTGGCTCCGGCCTGGTGGAACGATCTGTCTCTTGAGACCAGGGCCCTGCAGGATCTGATTTCTTTCCGCAGGGCCTGTAAGACAGAGTTGTTCCGCCTGGCCTTTGGCTTGGAGCCAATTTGATTCCCTCCCCCTTTCTTTTTCCTTTCTCCTCCTATGAAGAGATAGCACCCTAATGTTTTAATATTTTATCTTAATCTTTTAAATTGTATTTTAATCAACTTTTTTATTATTAGTTTTTAGCTGCCCTGAGCCCGGTATTGGCTAGGGAGGGCGGGGTATAAATAAATTATTATTATTATTATTATTATTATTATTATTATTATTATTATTATTATTAAAGCGCATAAGGTTTTCTCCTTCCAGATTTGTCCGGGATGCTTCGGTCCTTTGTCAGCCCGAGCCTCTGGCATGTGGTGCCAGGCCAGGCCCCCCGCCTTTGGGGGAGAAGAAGATGCCCGTTTCTCTGCAAACAAGCCAGGTGCCGCTTCCAGGCAGCCTGGCACAGCCGGCTTGCATCTTTGGTTGGTGGCACAGGTTGGCAGGCATCTCTGCTGAATCCCTTGGGAAAGAGCGCTTCTGACTCCGCAGCCCAGGGCGCCTGTCTGGGAGCGAGAGGGGCTTCGCACCCCAGCAGGACACAGCGGCACGCGGCCGGCTGGAGGTCTTTCTCCCAGGGGACCCCGCAGAGCCCCTCGTCCGGCCCCCGTCTCCCGTTCAAGACTCGACTGCTCATCACGGTCCTCTTTGGCGGCGGCATCCTGGCCGGCTGGCTGTACCTGCGGAAAGAGAAGCTCCGGCAGGAGAAACTGAGGCGCGTTGAGGAGCTGCGGAAGCTGGCCCTCGGGCAGGGGGATTTCCGGCTGCTGGACCACACGGGGCGGCCCCGCTCCAAGGCCGACCTGCGGGGCAGCTGGGTCCTGCTCTACTTTGGCTTCACCCACTGCCCGGACATCTGCCCCGAGGAGCTGGAGAAGATGAGCCGCGTGGTGGAACTGCTGGACGGCAAATCTCACCTGCCCAGAGTCCAGCCCGTCTTCATCACGGTAGACCCCGAGAGGGATGACGTGCCGGCGATGGCCAAGTACGTCCGGGATTTCCACCCGCGCCTCCTGGGGTTGACAGGCACCCCAGAGCAGGTGCGGGAAGTGGGCCGGGCCTTCCGGGTCTACGCCAGCGCCGGCCCCAGAGATGAGGACGGTGACTACATTGTGGACCACACCGTGATCATCTACCTGCTCAGCCCAGACGGGCTCTTCCTGGACTATTACAACCGGAACAAGACGGAGGCGCAGATCGCCAAGAGTGTGCAGGGACACATGGACACCTTCCAGAGCCTCTTCGGCTGAGACGGAGGCCTCTCTCGGTGCCGCTCTTTTGAAGGGAGGGAGGGGACTGTTTCCACTTACAAGCTTCTGTCTTGGCCCCTTGTGGTGGTGAGTTCCGGAGGCTATGTCAAGGGAGAAATTACATTGCTACTCACTGATATTGCGTGTGTTCATTTACTGGGTTACCTGGGGGAGAAGAGAGGTTTGCTTTGCTTCCTGCAAAATATTTCGGGGTGCTTTTTAACAAACGCAAACATACTTCTTTGTCTGTCCGCTGTGGTTTCCAAGAGCTGCAGCAAAGGCTTTCAAGATTGCTTTCCCAAGAGCTACTGTTTGTGGATGGGCACCCCTGCTGCTCCGATTCTTTCCCTCTGAAGCACAAAGCCCCCAGGTTAAGCGCAGACTATAAAATGGGTGTCTCTGCTTGCAGCAGTTTGGTTAATCTGGGGTACATTCGAGGGGTAAGGACCTGCTGTTCCCTCCCAGGACCTGCTGTTCCCTCCCTTCTCCTGCAGTCTGACAGACAGCCACAGCAGCTGCTTATTTTGACCAATCTTGCCTTCCATTAAGTTTTAAAATACCTTTTAAGATCATCCGAGTTGGGGACCATCACATCTTGCAACAGTGAAATCCGGTTTAAATATGCTGTCGTCTGGCCTGAATCTCTCTCCCCCCCCCTCCCCCCGGCTATCTGAGCTGCAGTCTGAGGAAGAGAAACATCTCTGTCCCTTCTCCATACATGCATTTTATATCCTCCCCTTTTCTCTCCCCCCCCCAAACTTAGAAGTCCCAAACGTCTTTGCTCTTGGCGCTGCTGCAACCCTTTGATCAGCGCCAGCGTTTGAAATTCACCTGGGCGCATTTTGCACCTGGCTATCTGCCACTTAAGGGACGCGGGTGGCGCTGTGGGTAAAAGCCTCAGCGCCTAGGGCTTGCCGATCAAAAGGTCGGCGGTTCGAATCCCCACGATAGGGTGAGCTCCTGTTGCTCGGTCCCAGTGCCTGCCAACCTAGCAGTTCGAAAGCACCCCCAGGTGCAAGTAGATAAATAGGGACCGCTTACTAGCGGGAAGGTAAACGGCGTTTCCGTGTGCTGCGCTGGCTTGCCAGATGCAGCTTTGTCACGCTGGCCACGTGACCCGGAAGTGTCTCTGGACAGCGCTGGCCCCCGGCCTTTTGAGTGAGATGGGCGCACCAACCCCAGAGTCTGTCAAGACTGGCCCGTACGGGCAGGGGTACCTTTACCTTATCTGCCACTTGGCGCCAAGTTTAGATGCCCGGGCACCAGGATGCTGCCTGATGTCTTGACCACCTGGAGATGTATTTCTGGGGATCCATGGATCTTCGCTGTTTTCACACCCTAGCAACGTATTCTGCAGAATTCTATTGGTTATATATGTTACCTCCACAAATTCAGAATGAATTTCAGGAACCAAAATGTTCTGTTTTTCAAGCGGCCTGGCCCCCAAATGGCAATGAGGCATTCTGCTTTGGCAATGGTAAAAAGGTAAAGGGACCCCTGACCATTAAGTCCAGTCATGGCCGACTCTGGGGTTGCGGCGCTCATCTCGCTTTATCGGCCGAGGGAGCCGGAGTGCAGCTGACTAAGCCACTTCTGGCAAACCAGAGCAGCGCATGGAAACATCGTTTACCTTCCCGCCAGAGTGGTACCTATTTATCTACTTGCACTTTGACGTGCTTTCGAACTGCTAGGTTGGCAGGAACAGGGACCGAGCAACGGGAGCTCACCCAGTCGCAGGGATTCGAACCGCCGACCTTCTGATCAGCAAGTCCTAGGCTCTGTGGTTTAACCCACCGCGCCACCCACGTCCTGGGTTAAGGAGCCATTTGGCACCTAGCTGATATACCTGAGTTGCTGTCCAGCCACGGCCAGAATGTCACAGAGAGCATTATATCTCTGGGCATTATTTCGACTGCCTTCTTCTCTGGTGCCACGCATTGTGGAAGCCTCTCCGTAGAGGTTTGCTGGGTACATGCAGACATCCTTTTATTTGTATGCCAGCTTTCCACAGCTCAAACCACGCTCAAGGCGGCTTACAACATGGAAACCCCCCCCCCATAACTACAACAAGAGTAGTCAAACAGTAAGCAAAACATACAGTAATACCTCGGGTTACAGATGCTTCAGGTTGCATTTTTTTGGGTTACAGACTGCTGAAACCCAGAAGTACCAGAACAGGTTACTTCCAGGTTTGGGTGGTTGCACATGCACAGAAGCACTAAATCACACTTTGTGCATAAGCGCCAAATCACAACGCTCATGTGCGCAGATGCGCTGCTGCGGGTTGCGAACACTCTAGGTTGCAAACGTGCACCCTGCACAGATCATGTTCGCAACCCGAGCATCCACCGTACAGTGGTACCTCTGGTTACGAACGCTTCAGGTTATGAACTCCGCTAACCCGGAAGCAGGTCTCCTGGTTGTGAACTTTGCCCCGGGATGTGAACAGAAATCGTGCGTCAGAGGCACATGGGCAGCAGAGAAACCCCATTAGTGAAAGCGCGCCTCAGGATAAGAATGGTTTCAGCTTAAGAACAGACCTCTGTTCTTAAGCTGAAAGTACAAAAAGCCAACAGCAGCTCCCCAGCCCAAGAGTCTGTTCAGCAACCTCTGCTTTTGCAGCTGGAGTCAGGCCAGGTGGGGAAAGGCCTTCCTGTACTCACAGCCAGGGTGGGGGCGCCCCTTACTGCTAGACAGCCTTGCGATTTAGTAGCTTTGGGGTTCTTTTTGTATTTCCTTTTTAATTATTTCTGTAGGCTTCCCTGCCAGTACAGTCACACCTCGAGATAAATACGCTTCAGGATAAGTATTTTCAGGTTGTGCTCCGCGGCGACCCGGAAGTAACGGAGCGGGTTACTTCCGGGTTTCGCCGCTCGTGCATGCACAGATGCTCAAAATGATGGCATGCGCGGAAGTGGTGAAACGTGACCCCCGCCCACGTGTCTTACGTTCTGTTCAGGATGCGAACGGGGCTCTGGAACAGATCCCGTTTGCATCCCGAGGTACCACTGTATAACAACAGATTCCCGGTACACCTGGTGTCTTGCGGGAAGCATGCGTAATTCTGTAGCCTCGAGTTTACGGCTGAAATGGTTGTAACTCCGGGAGTGTTGCCCTTTTTTTCCTTTTCCAAGATCAGCACTTATGCGTCTGGCCGGTTGTGGCTCCTGAGAATGCAGAGGCAATCCTGGAGCATGAACCCTCTAAGGGTGGTAGCTTTCCTAGTGACCAAATGCTGCTGCTGCTTCCGTGGCCAGAAGAGAGATACTATACAGCAGACAACCTCCTGTGCGGACAAACACTTCGGCTGCACAGAAGCCTTTAATCTCATGTGCAGTAAAGCTTAACCACTGCAGAGCTTTGCTTCCTCAAACTGTGCTGCAGGGAACAAAACCAGTGTCACACAAACTCAATGAGTGCAGCTCTTGTTCCAGCCGGCCTCCAGGTTCCAAACAGCCTCTTTGCCGCCAGCAGAGGAAGGTTAGGCCTAAGGGCCGCAGGGACCAGACAGAGCGGGACCCCTCAGCTTGCGCATCTTGAACCCCCTGCCCCATGCTCCCAATGGAAACAAAAATCCCAGAAGGGAACAGATCCCGAGTTTTGTCCTTGCGGTCGGTGCCCGGTGCTCAGAAAGGAAACCCAGGAATGACTCCAGCGCACGAGTTTATTGTGGCAAAGAGAAGAGGGTCGAAGCAGAGTGGGGAAAGGAGGGTGCAGAAGCTGTACAGAGATATATATATACATATATACACACAAACATATGCATGTGCGCAGGAGGAGAGGCGTCAGTGCTGGCCGAGCGAGGGAGCCGTGTAGGTGCGGAAACGGTCGTGTGCCTTGTCCTGGGTCAGCAGGCGGAGAGCCATGGTGTCCATGCCCTCCTCCAGGCCAGGCTTCTGGGAGATTTCCACCGTGTAGTCGTTGGCCTAGAGGAAGACGTGGAATCAGAGAACTGTAGAGCGGGAAGGGAGCCCCGAAGGTCCCAGGACGTTTCTGAGCACAATTCAAAAGTGTTGGTGCTGACCTTGAAAGGCCTAAGCGGCCTCAGCCCTGTATATCTGAAGGAGCGTCTCCACCCCCATCATTCTGCCCGGACACTGAGGTCCGAGGGCCTTCTGGTGGTTCCCTCCCTGCGAGAAGCCAAGTTACAGGGAACCAGGCAGAGGGCCTTCTCGGTAGTGGCACCCGCCCTGTGGAGCAGCCTCCCATCGGATGTCAAGGAAATTAACCACTACAGTGGTACCTCGGGTTACATACGCTTCAGGTTACGGACTCAGCTAACCCAGAAATAGTGCTTCAGGTTAAGAACTTTGCTTCAGGATGAGAACAGAAATTGCACAGCGGCAGGAGGAGGCCCCATTAGCTAAAGTGGTGCTTCAGGTTAAGAATAGTTTCAGGTTAAGAACGGACCTCCAGAATGAATTAAGTACCGTATTTTTCGCACCATAGGACGCAGTTTTTCCGTCTTAAAAACTAAGGGGAAATGTGTGTGCGTCCTATGGAGCGAATGCAGGCTCCCTGGCTTCAGCGATAGCAAGGCAAAGCCTCCGAAGCCTGCGCTCCGGAGGCTTCCCGTTGCTTCCGCTGAAGCCAGGAGAGTCTGCTCTTTGAGGCTGGCGGGGGGAAAGCAGCGCTTCCCCCATCGCCAGCCCCAGAGGATGGGGGGCAGCAGGAAGGCGCGCGACGCCTTCCCGCTGCTCTCCAACCCTCCTGTGGGCTTTTGCGGGAGATGGGGGAATTCCCCCACCTCCCGCAAAAGCAGGCAAAAGCTGTGCGCTCTTTAAAGGGGCTGCACGGCTTTGCTGGCTTTTCTAGGAGGTGGGGGGATTCCCCCACCTCGCAGAAAAGCCTGCAAGAGCCTCGCAGCCTTTACAGAGCGCGCAGCTCTTGGGGGCTTTTCCCCAAGGAGGGAGAAGGGACTGACTGGCCGAGTCAGTCCCTTCTCCCTCCTGCGGGCTTTTGCGGGAGATGGGGGAATTCCCCCACCTCCCGCAAAAGCAGGCAAAAGCCGTGCGCTCTTTAAAGGGGCTGCACGGCTTTGCTGGCTTTTCTAGGAGGTGGGGGGATTCCCCCACCTCGCAGAAAAGCCTGCAAGAGCCTCGCAGCCTTTACAGAGCGCGCAGCTCTTGGGGGCTTTTC